GTGGTGGRTGGAAAGTGTGGAGGTGAGCAGTCATCATGAAAGCACTTCGGTGTGTATTGATGTGGCAAAGGGGAGCCTGTGCTGGCAGCCCTCCTCTCCCCCACTGCTGCAGCCACAAAGCTCCCTGTGGGATGAATCCTGCCTGGGTGTTCAGGTAAGTTGTCAACACGCATGGGAGCTCTGGCTTGTGCATGCTAGGGGTGGGCAATGTCTGCATGCTCCATACTGAACTGTGCTGGGCAGAGCACATCAACATTGTGTGAAGCCAGGGGTACTGGACAGAGCTAAACTTTGCGTTTCAAATTATTTTCAAAAGATAGTTCCCATTCTCTCCCAACTGTGCAAAATGCTGGTTTTGGCACACACAAACAAGGAGCAAGTTGGAAACTGGTGGCTCATACAGGAGATTTGAAAGGAGTGCTGTCCCTTTTTTGTGTCAAATCTTTTTCCCTCTTTACTGTGCTTCTTTCCTATGTTAAATTGCTGAATGTCACTTCATTAAAATAATTGCTGATTGCWCTTTACACTTTAGCTTAGTAGCTCCTCAGGAAAGGCTCAGCCACTAAAGATTCTAACCACCTCCTGTGACCTGCAAGTTAATCTTTATTTCACTGGGCCTCAGTGAGCCCTGATGGTCCACAAGTCATGTAGCCAAGCAGTAGGATGTCCACAGACTTGGAAGTCATATTCTGGGGAACAGTTTCATTAGGTTTGTTAAGAATTCCCTGATGTTTTCCTTAGGTTACTCCAAATTCAGATTTTACACTGCCTTAAAGAAATGGCTCGTGTCATGAGATGTTCAGGGACAAAAAAAAAATTATTCATTTTGCAGCAGAGAGAGAACTGGACATTACCTTTACCAAGATGCAGTGAAGCTCCGTGYCTTCCTTGCCTGTGAGCTGTAACAGCTCCATTGCTCGCAGGACATGAGAGAAAAGGAAGYCTTCCTGCATCCAAGACGATGCACAACATATGCCATACAACATATGCCCTCCTGCTTGTGCTATGCTGTATGAGCGACAACAGTCTGGGCTTGTAATTGTCATAACCCTAATTAGTAGTGACAAATATTTTGGAACTGGAGGACTGGGGATTTCTGTATGGGTTTTAGACCCCATTAAAAAGTTTACTCCTTGCATCCACTCTAATCTTGCCTTAAGTTATTCAGCATATACATGTGACACATTAAAACAAGCACTGAAATGTGCTGAGCTTGAGATGTACRCTTTCCAAATCCTCTGCCAACACAGCTTAGATGAAATGTCTGCTGGAAATAAGGCAGTCGTTGTTGACATTCTCTTTCAGTGGAGAAAGGAGAGGTAGAAATGAGGGGGCAGGCACTGGTTCCATGCTAAACAAAGATGCATAGAAGGGAAAAATAACTTATTTTGGTTGAACATTTTAAAGAAACTAGGTGTTGTTTGTGTCAAACTTTAACATCATCATAATCTGAAATATTCTTACTGATATATCCCCAAGGGAATTCCATCCACATAATAGATGAGACCCAACATGCCTTCCTGGATCTGAACTTTTTTGGCATGGATTGTACCCAATTAAGAACTATTTCAGCCACCTCCAGCTTCTCAGAGCAGCCTTTCACCTGACTGACTCAGGCACTTACACCATGCCAGCCTCAGGGAAGGGTTCTGGGATCACAAAGAGTACTGGGGTGCATCTCACCCCTACTATCTCGAGGTGGACACAGGCCACCCTCCYCTGGTTACCCAGCTGCCTGTTTTCCGGACACTAAGCAATGACACTAAAGCATGCTGTTGCCATCYTGGACGCTTTGGTGATGGACACTGTCCTGGCAAGCAGGGGCAGGTAGGTTTGGGTGGACTGGGTGGGGGGTCTGGGGAGAGTGCTGGCTGCCTGCCTCKGCAGCTGAGCTGAACTGCTGCCCCACTCCAAAGGAGCCATCRTGTGTGCTGCTCTGAGGCTTTTCCCAGGCAGAAAAGCCTTCCCTTTTGTGTCTCCTGATGGGCTTTGTCCCTTAGAAGCCCTGGAAGACTGAACCTGAAACAGAGGTACCACCCCTGCAGCTGGTTTAAATCAACAGCACTTCTGTGAAAACAACTGACTTACGTTGATTTAAATCAGCAGGTGAATTGCAGATCCCATCCAGCTTTTCCACCTGCAATACAATGTTTTGCTCCCTTCTTGTTCATTTTAGTAAWAGGAAAGAGATACCCAGTTTTTCTAATGAAATGCAGGTTTTTTCCTGATCCTCTATTTTAATGAGGATGTCTAAGATGAGAGAATCCCAAGCCRAACACCTGCATCCCAGCCAACTCCAGGTTGTAGATATCCGTATCACTCAGACCCTTACTGTGAGGCTGACACTTGGCATTGGGCTGAAACAAAATCCCCTACATCAGTATGCCTGTAGCTGGGGGCTGAACATTACAGCGCATTTCCTTGTAGTCAAAAATGTCACAGCATTAATGCTTCTATGCAATTTTAGGGATCCTTTTGCCATCTGTCCTAGCACAGAGGTGAGTACAACAGCCAAGCAGACAACATTGCTGCCTGCTTCTTGCTCTCTTAACACAGAGCTTCTTGCACCCATCTGTTTGCGTGTGCCTGTGTGCAAGGCTGTTCCCTGGCACGGTTATTCTCCCAGACAGACGGGCTTTGCACTGGGGACTCATCCCAGCCTGCAGGCGGGAAGTTTGCTGCAGTTCCCAGGGTAACGCCTTTCCCATGAGACCAGGGAGCTGCAGATGGAGGCCACTGCCTTTCCCCACAACAGGAAGCTGTTTCCACTGGTAAACCCACGAGCGAGGTTTTGCTCTGCACAAACCGCAGCCGTTGGCTCCGTTTCCAACACAACGCCTTCTCCAGGGCAGCTGCCCCCTCTCCTCAGCCTGGCCCACTACAGGCAGTTCTCCTTCCTGCTTTGAACACATGAATGTTGRAATCAGAACAGGATGTGGATCAGTGTTTGCTCCTCAGCCCTGCTGGAACCTGACGCAGGGAGCTGGCGTAGCCCCAAGCCACCTGCCTGTGAGAAGATAACAAGAGGAGCTGCCTGTCGCAGATTAGGTAGTCTRACTGAATAGGCATTATATAAACCAAGGCTTATTTATTTTTTTCCTAAGGAAGTACCCAAATATTGGTGGAAACTAACTTTTTTTTCTAAACCCAGCCATGTTATTCTTCCAGGAATTAGAATCCACATCTTTACCTTCTCCTTCCTGTAAATAGGATTCAGGAATTGGTAATTCCTTAGCATTCTTTCTCTGGTATTCCTTAACAGCAGCATGGTTTTAGCCCCCCCAAGCCATGTTGTCCTGCAGAAGATTTGGCCACCCCCTGGGGTAGCACTGGGCCAAGCTTCACAACAGTGCATTTAAAAATAATAATAATAATAAAAATTATTTATAGTGAAAAAACCACAACCAAATATGCATGTCTTAAATAGTATGTCTGCAGAGCTCTGGGATGAACTGGCCATTCCYATGCTAAGCCCTGCACATGAGGCACAGAGCAATGGCTGTGGGTCTCTTGTCCCAGGCAAGACAATCACAATGATGACGGTGTTTCCTCTAGCCAGCTTCTGGTATAGAGAACAGGGACAGATTAGGCCGTGTATGTTCATGCAGCTGAACAAATTATTTGGTGAAAGTCACACATCTCAGTAATGAAATTAGGCTTCTGTAGGGAACATTTTCTTGGAACAGCCTAAACGGGAAGAGATTAGCAATCAAACGGAGGTGGGAAGTGTTTCTTTTTTCCTAGAGTGTTAACTTGTTTAAAAAGATTCATTTCAAATAGCCTGCTAATTTTTACATTTCAAATTTTTCTACATTTTGTGCATACTCATTTTCACTGTATAATCTGTTTCTCTTGCTCTTTTTGTGGGTCTTTCTTTGAAACAGCAATCAGTGAGACTTCCTATTGCAAAGGAAATCTTGGCTAAATATAGTAATGAAGAGGAGGTTGTTTAAGAGCTGCTAGGTATTCTACAGCTCTCTGATATTCCCTGAGTATTTATTTCAAGCAAGACTTCTTCCTTTAAGAAAAACACTAGTTTTCAACAAGAAAGCTATCCAAAGAAACACAGCAACTGATGCAATACCTGAGACAGTTTTTCACTGTTCCATCTGTAACTGCAAAGCCATCGGTATCCCCTATGGGGATATACCCTTTCTACAAATGGTGAAGACTGGCTGTAGGTCCTGAAATAGGTTGTGTAGATCCTTTGCTCCTGAAAGCAGGTGCTGCATGGTCTAAGCTAGTGAAGGGGTTCAGATGTGCAGGTGACCTTCCTTCTTCCTAGTCCTTGGTCCAGCCAGTCAGTGGGAAAGCTCACGTGGATGACAGCAGGGCACAAGCAAGGCTGCCACAGCTTGCATTGGTGGCTTGGGGGAGAGCACAGGGAGAGCAGGGAGGCCAAGCAGGAGTGACCCGGGACCAACCCAGGAGGCAAATGACCAAGGAGTGTGCAAAGGTAAGTGACAGCAGGGCAGGAACAGGCTAAGCTGTTTCTGAAATTACATTTTTTCTAGACCTGTTCTTGATGGATGCTRTTCAGGTGATACTAATTCACAGGCTGTGGGAGGGACATCCCAGTTTTCACAGTAGCCTCAGCTGTGCATCCCTCCCCAAGCTGGGATAAATCTCTGCACCAGCAGGACAGCACTGGGCAGAACAAGCAGCAGCAAGTGTAGGAGAGGGCTTTGCTTTCACCAATTTCCATGGAACTGGAGAAAGAGAAGGTCTTCACAAGACAGGATCCCAGGGCACAGCCTTGAGTAATAGCCACGRGACGTCACTAGGCACAGCTCCTCCTTGCCAAAACACTTCCCTGAGGCAAAACTGCAGGCACACGAGACACTGGAAGCAGGCTCACCCCACATTASCTGCCTCCCTTGTCAGCCGGGCCTCGTGTCCTTTCTCTGGGGAAAAGCCCCAGCCCCTCACTCCCAGAGAAACCATCCCACGGCATCACTTACACCTCCAGATCTGTTGTGTCTGTTTGTCCCTCCCTCCAGGGAAAGTCTCTGGCGAGCAAGCGCCTCACGGGCCTGATGCAGTCCTCCTGACAGCTCCAGCCATCCGCCCCGCGGGAGAGACAGCTGGGACCGCTGCCGGGAACGGGGCATTGCAGGGAGAGCAGGTCCCTGCAGGGGAGACAGCCTGAGCAAGKGGAGGCAGAGAGCCACACCAGGGGAGCACCTCTCTTCACAGTTTACACCAACAGCTCCCTGTCTGCACGGCTCCCTGAGGACACTGAGCTCTGTGCAGGTACTTTGTTTTCAGCTGAGATGTGGAGGAGCACACTTCACCGTACACAGGAGGCTGGACGTTGACAAGGCGAGGGCTTGGCTGTCTCATTATTTAAGGAAACAGACCCAACCACAGCTTGGAGAAAGAAGAGCTGAGAGACATCAGTGCTTTTCCACATCTCGTCTCTCCCTGGCACAAACATGACTGTAATAGATGGCACCGCAGTCTCACTTGCTCCCTTTCATGTGGCCGTCTGGATCCAATAAAATATCTGCTGGAAGCTGCTTCTCCTTCTCACAAAATCCCAAATGCATTTCTCCTGCAGATTCACTGACTTTAACTGTGTTTTTATTTCCTGTTTCTGCTCCTTTAAAGCAGTGAGAAAAAAAAAAAGGCACCATTTAAGTTCATCACTCATTGTCCTTCCAATAGCATGTATCGTGTCCAGAGATGATGGCCAGATCCTCAGCTGAAGTCGTGAGAACAGGAGTGGTTTTCATCACCTGAGGATCTGCCCCATGGAGTCAGATGCTGATCCTGGTGCAAATCCTCTGCCATCGGCGGAATCCTAGTGCGTGTGCGCATTGTGCAAACGTGATCAGACTCTGCCTGATGCTCAAAAAGTCACATTTGAGATGTGCAGTGCACACAGACACACACACATATATAGTATTTTAAAGTGAGTTGATTTGTATTGTATTTAATTTTCTATTTATTTAAGGTTTTGCATACCTAATCAATGATGGATGTTCAAGCTTTCCTCCAAGCAAATCAAACTGGACTCCAGCTCCAGCTCAATCAGAGAGAGCGAAAATCCACTCACACATATCCAGGGAACTCTGATGCGGGCAGGTGTCAAAATTCAGCCTACAGTGAGGAGGGAATTGATGGAGATGGGACCAGCAGAAGCAAGGTGTGAATAGGCAGGGCACTGGGTGCCAGGTGACCCTTCCTAAACAGCAGCACATGCAGCTGTGATACCATGCTCAGATAACTAACCYTGCTGAAAGCAGCATTCTGAGAGTGAAATTGTACCTTTGGACAAAATGAGCTTCCACTAAAACTCATCTGACCTACAGCCCATAAATGTAACAGAAGAGATGACCCAGTAGCTTGTTTCAAATTGTTGAGGGAATGGAGGACAGGATGAGGACAGGACTGAAGTGATTTTAATAAACCCACTTATACTAGCTGCAGATAGGAAAATGGCCTGCATTCACATACAGTATATTATCTCTATATGAAAATTTCAAGACAGCTGACTTAGTACCACAAAACCTATATTTTGTAAGCAGATGTGAAGTATACATGAAACTAGACATTTCTTGGTCTTCATCACTCATGCCAAGGCAAATTGGCTTTTTGTACAGGTGGTAGAAACTGCTATATGGCTGCAAGTCTGCATTCTTTTCTAGGCAAAACCATCTAGTTAAGAAGACAGCTGGCTATTGACAACATTCACTTCTGAGGCAAGTATTAAGTATTATTCTAATATCTAAGGCCTATGTCTACACAAAAACATGCCAGCATAGTTTCTGTCAGAAAAAAAGACCTTCCTCTTTGTTCATGAATGTTCTCATTCTGGTAAGTCTTTTCTTTCCCCCAGAAAACACCTGCATGAATGTACAGTAGAATACTGAGTATGATGCTTGTTCTTTACACATGCCTATAGCCTAAATAACCTGCTGTCTGAGGCTATCAGACCAAATTCATCCTACATACATGACACACAAGCAATTCCAGGACTGCAGAACTACCATGAATGTGCCCAGACATTCTTGTGGACCTCTGCCTCTGAAGAGGACATTTGGTCCCCTCCAAACTGTCACTTAGCTGTCCTTGCAGGACCCAATTAGTCCTCTTGTTACGCACCCAGCCAAAGGATCCCCTTGGGAAGTAGCAGGTCTTTGTGTAATAGGGTCACTTGTCCATTCATGCACATTCATGTGTCCCCTTAGTCGCCCCTAGGAAAATGCAGAGGCCATCTCTTCTCAGAGCCTTGTGGAGGGCGTTTTTATCTCTCAGACCTGCCASTGCGTCCCTGGAGCTCTGTAAGCCAACAGCTGCTCGCGCTCCAAGCTGCTCTGCTGCCGCTGCTGCCCAGCCACGAGGCATTTCCCAGGGGAGGTCTGTCTTGTGAGCCCTCAGACTGGTCTGTAGAGCATTCCTGAGCACGATGTACATACAAAACATGAAACTCCGSTGTGTAGGAAGGAGCAGGGATGGTAAAGTGTTACATGTGGGTCTCTGCTTTGCAGTGAGTTCCTGGCACTGGAGAGGTCGTCACCTTGGAGGAAGGATGGGGCAGCTCCCTGGAGGTGTTCCTCAGTGYCCTGCAGCATGGGGGCACATGTGGGCAGGACTGGAGGATGCTGGTGGGTGATGGGACAGGTGGAATTTGGGTTATGGTCTGTGCAGGGAGCAGAGATGCCAGACTTGCATTTGGGGGTGTGCCCCTGCCCTGTGAGCAATGCACTCTGCTGTATTTCAGCTTTATCCCTGCAGGATGGTCATGCTGGCTGCCGCAGTGTTTTGCCTGTGGGGAATATTCCATGTTTGAACAGTTGAGCACATGGAGGGAATTCTTACAGACATGGAGAGCATGCATATGGGCATGCATCAGGGGGCCTGGATGCTGAACAGCTTGCCATTTAAATGCACACTCGTGCAAACTAATCTGCTCAGCAGTGGCTAGCTGAGCGGACAGAGCTGCGTATCCTCTGGAGGGAAGAAAGCTCTGCTTCTCATTTCCTGACTAAATTTCTYGAAAACAAACACGCGAATAGACAAGGCCTCCTCCTGGGAATACATATGAACTGTTCTTCATGTGTCTTTTACTTCACATATGGTGATACTAACATGTAACTATTTCCACGTGAACCACATCCTTGAATTATTGCTTTTTAATGATGTTGCTTATTCCAAGTGATGCTACTCTTGTACAAACAACAGTATCCCAGTGACCACTGCAAGCAGTAATCTGCTTCTTTGTAAGTGTCCAGTGTCTTCCAACTACCTCATCGTGCTGAAGATGAGTTAGGAAATCAGCTTTCCACCTCTCTTTATGTTCTAAATGGCATAAATTCAAGGAAAGATGGTCTGGAAAGCTTTTATAATGTCCATACTGTGCAAGTAAGCTACAAAACTTCCCATACTTACAGGGCTATGGCTGTGAAATATGGCTGTGCACTGTTATTTGGATAATTGAGTATCCAGAGCATTTGTGGCTATTGTGGCAAAACAGCACCAGGACAAGCCCTAGGAAAGGTTCAACAAGCCAGTGCAGACAGTGTTAGGCTAAAGCAAATGGATTAATGTACTCTCAGTATAACTCAGCACTAAGATCCCATAGAGTACTGTAATAAAATGGTAGCAGGGCAGCCATAAAAAGTGGCAGTAAGCTGACATAATAATACCAGAATAAATGTAGCAATAAGGTAACACAGGCCGCTGCAGTAAAGTAGCATTTTGATAATGCAGCAATAAGACACAACAGGATGCTGCAGTAAATTAGTTTGGGGAATAAGGCAGTAATAACAGTGCGTGTGGACAAACAGTGGTACATTCGTATCAGGTACTGCAGCAATAAAGATAACCAAGATGTCCTAGTAATAAGTTACTACAGTAACAACAACATGATGCACTGTAAAGTTATATCAGGGTGCTTCCATGCTGCAGTCAAATCTTACAAGAGGTGATAGTGAGACAATAAAGACAAAATATACCCCATTTCAGACTGCAGAACTTGAATCAGTTTTCTGCACTGTAGCCCAAATTTTGGAATCGTCTCAGCAATACCAATCCTCTCATTCCACTTTAAAGGAAGCTGAGGCAAGAGTGTTTCCCCATCCAGACTATTATTTTGGTCTGAAAATACAAAATTGACTCATTGTCTTTTCAGCCGAATTGTCACAGACTGGTGAAGTTCTTTGTTTCACCCTACTCAGGTGAAACTCTGGTGGTTTTGGTAAGTCCTTTGCCTTTGAAAGGATTTGGCTGTCTCATCTTCTGTCATGGGTGATGCTTTTAGCCTAAAATTATTTCTGTTTTGGGTGGGAGAAGGGGAACTCAGGTACAGAACATCTKACTGTACCAGTCTGTTTCCTGAAATGCACAAATAAATGGAGCATCCTGGAAAAGTTAAAGCAACAAGGACCAAATCTGTTCTGTCTGTCATGTACTCATGCACACAAGAATAATCATCCTGGAATCAATGCAAGCCCTGGATGCACCCATGGGCAGGCTTTAGCCCAACCCTTTTCTTAGTGTCTCCAGCAGTGCGACAGAAGTATTGTGTCTTTCCCTTCCTTCTTTTCCTTTTATATTTTTTTTTTTATTTAACCTTACCCTCTGTATGAAATGGCCTTAGAAAAAAAAATTAGTTTGTCATAACACCAAATGCATCATGGTGGGCAAGGAATAGGTCTGTCCAAGGAATTTGCTGTCTTTTTACTCTTCAGTACAGGGGTATTCTGAAAAATAACTGGCAACCACTGTTACACTCGATAATCATCAGGCATAAGGGTTTAGTCAGAGCATCTACGTCAACAACAAGACTTGAGTGGAGTGTGTGTGCTAGATAACAAGATGGTCTCCTGGGAAAAGGATGTAAATAGGGCACCACTGCAGAGTCTTGACTAGCAGGAGCAGCTCACAGCATCACCATTCCTAACAGATAAAAATTTTCTGCCACATCTTTCTGACCCTTTGCAAAACCACTTWGCTGTCCCTTTATATGGCTTCCTCTGTCTCTAGCTGACTGCTCAGKTCAGGTTTGGAGCAGTGCTCTGACACACCTTGTCTTGGCTCTTGCCTTAAACTCCTTGGCTTGCTTTTCTTGTGGTTTAATGATTAAGCAGGATTATTAAAGCAGAGCTCACAGCAGGGTAAGATAGGCTAGGTTATCGTGATTATGTCGCCTAAGCTGTGAGCAATTTTGCAGCTTCTCAGCAATGTTTATAACCTGAGACGGAGAACAAGCGGCGTGGCTGCTCAGCAGAACAGTGAGCTRGTGAACAATGCACTATCTTCATGCCCACACGTGCTTTGAACTTACTGCTGAGGAGAAATGCTTTGTAGTGAGAAAAGTAATCTCACGGCAGGGGAGAGTCAGACCTGATCAACTTTTTCATGTGATACAGATTTTGCTTTGCCAGCCCGTAGCATCTGCAAAGCTCGCAGCTAAGAGCCAGCARCCTCCTAATCCTGCTGCTAAGCTTTGGAAACAAGCTTTTCAAAGGCTGCCTTTACACAGGAATGCTATTACTTGAAGCCTTTTAATGTGAATTTATGGCTATTGCCACAAGTGTCAGTGTAGTTGCCCTCTGTATTTGCAATAGGAAACTGTGGATTCACCCCATACAGAGGGTGGATGTTAGTGGGCAGAATTTAGGGATTTACCAGTGTCCTGTCGGGGATCCAGAAGACATGCTGGATCTGGCAGAAGATCATCCCTCATCTGGCAGAGGACAGCTTTCTTGTGGGCAGTGGCATTGTTCTGTGGATATTGCTATCTGTCAGCAGAGATACTAAACTTAGCTTCTCTCTCATCTCTGGGAACTTAAACCGTGCCAKCCTTACATAAATAGTAGGTGACAGCCCTGAGCAGCACCTCCTGTGGGTGGACTAGGAAGTGGAGTAGTGTAGGCTGGGATTTCAGGAGTGATTGTTTCCTTTTGGATCCTCAACATCCATCTATGTGCAGGTTATTCCTGCATGCTGCATGGCTTCACAGCCCAGAACTGTGGGTGTCTGGTTCTTGCCATTGGTCTGCATGAGCTTCATGCCACGTGGATTAAGGCACACCAGATTTAAAAAAAAAGTCAAACTATGCTTTATACAACGCATCATTTCTCCTAAAAGCATCTGAGATTCTGAAATTTGCTCTTTGGGGGTCATTTGGGTCATATGTGATTTGGATTCACCCCTCTTTGAATCTCAACCCCACACTKCAATTTGGGCTGTGAGCTGAACTAKCACATCCTGAGCTCAGGCAGTGGAAGCACCTTGGCAAAAGCAAGTTTGTAGCATTTGCCTGCCACTGTCAGGACTGCTTGGCTGTGCTGTCACCTCTGGGACAGCTGGAATCTCTGACACCATTTTTTTCTGTGTGTCTGTCAGTGCAGCTGCATAATTGTTTGCACAGACGGTAGCAGAGAAGGCCTCAAATCCTTCCCTCAACTGATGCCTGGTACCATGTGAGAGATCCTCCGTGCTGGGGCACAGACAGATTTGGGTCAAGCACTGGACAAACGAAGCTAACTAGAACTTTCTACAGTCTGAATAAAGTTTGTCTTGCCAGTATCCTCAGCCAGCCCTGCACATATACTCCCACATACAACACATGGGAAAAAAAAACCCATCTTTCTGTGCTTATTGTGATGGATCATCCACTGTGGGCCACCTGCAAGCCCTATCTTGTCATTAAACTCCTGAGCTTTTGCATGTCACACTGTCCAAAAGTGCCTGTCCTGCTGTGATGACCTGCCTGTGGACATGARGACACTCTGCCATGTTGGTGAACTCCTTTGATGCACCCTGCCTTCCCCTCTGCAACACTGCCCTCACAGCCAGAGCTCAGCAGAGCTTAGCAGCCTTCTGCCATCCTTTAATTAGGCAATTGGCAGAGCTTTATGAAAARCAGCACAGCAAACCACAGATTTCTAAAATGTGGAAGCAATGTCAAGAGCAGTGCTAGAGCTACCGGCGTCAAATAGGAAATTAAATCGGTTGTGTGTGTTTTGTCTTTCTCACCTGGGATATTACTGACCTGATGAACATGGTGGCAGTTTTGCATCACTCTAACAGTAGTTTGGGGGAGATCTTTCTTCTCATCTGCCAGGGCTTTGAGGTCTCGAATGGGTCACGGGAAAGATGTGCCTGGCTGCAGGTGGAGGGACCTGGATCAGCATCCTTCCCTTGGCTCCCTGCCTGACCATCAGGGCATCGCTGGAGCCCACTCTCCTGGGACTTGGCCTCCCCTCTCTTTCTCTTTTGACCCAGCTAGCAGTTCCCAGAAAACAATCGAGTTACTGTATTAAGGGGATCCTGCCCTCACTGTGTCTTTGTTTCTGGGGAGTCCTAAGCAAATCAAGTTGCAGAGTATACAGAGAACACCACAATCTCTATGTCAAATGAAAGGAGAGTCCAAATGGAGAGAGAGGGCAAGAGAGAGAGCTCTGTGCTTGCATTCATCTCTGACATGATGGATTCCCCCTTCCTGGAAGCAGCCTTGGCATAAATAAAGCCAGTAAAGGCTTTTATGCAAGAACTCCCTTCACTACCAATAGTCCTGGAGTCATAGATAATAAAAGACCTGGCAGCTCATCTTGCACTGCTCCCTTTAATCAGCAGGATTTTCCCTACTGAATATTCACCGAGCTCGCTTTATCTAGCACACCTCTGAAACCTCCATGGATGGGACCTTAGCAGATGCCCTCAGGAACACATTTTTCCATACCTGAAACATTTACTGCAAGAAAAAAAAAAGCCTGATATACTACATAAAATGTCATCTCTGAGTAAGTTTAAAAACAGGGAGAGCCATCTGTAGGCCACAAATTGCAAAGGTGTTTAGCACAATACATTTTTGTCCCTAAGTATTCCCCTTAATGTATTTTTTGCATAGTCTGGCGTTTATTGCTCTTCATATCAGCACCCATTSCTCATCATGAAAAGTGTAGATATTTGTGGACTATCATGTCTSTTTTCAGCCTTATCCCCACCTCAGACTGTAATGGCTGAGGCTTTTCTCATATGCCAGTTTCTTAAAGACTGCTATCGATTTTGCTGCCTTTTCCTTTCTTTAAAAGATCACTCAGGAAAAACATCGTCAAGTGAACACAGAAGGGCTGTGCTTGTCCATAAGGTACAATTACCGAGTCGTTTGCGTAAGTGAGGAATCACTGTGGCACTCTGCTCTTCATGGAAAACTACATGCATGTGCCACACATATTGTGGTGTAACGTATTTGTAAAATCTTTTTATTGCACATCTTTGACCACTTTACCTGCCTTCATCCCACACTGTTCTGTGGCCATCTGTTCTGTGGCTACCACCCCCCATCCACTCTCCTGAGTACCTGTGGAGGGCTGCCAGGAAAATGGCTCCTCCTTTTCTTGCCAAATTTGGAATTTCAGTTGCAAATTTACCCTAGCAAGAGTGCCAAGGGGAGACAGAGTCAATGCCAAACCCCCTCTAGCTTTCCTGTTGGGCACATTTTCAATTCTGTCACCGTAGCTGAAACGGGGAGCTGACTCCCATCAGGAAGGGGTCATGCCCAGCACTGCAAGAGGAGTCAGCAGTTGTGCCCAGGAAGGGCAGATCATTAGAAGCTTTAAAACTGTAAAATCTATAGTATCTGAAAAGAATTCTATTATTTACATGCATGACATTCTCAAAACTCTGCACATTTGTTTTCACAGAAACTAGTGCACCTGGCTACAGAGTGAGGGGATTTTTTGAAAACAGTTCCAATAAAACATATTAAGGCCATCTACCTCACTCCAGGAATCATTTTTTCCACAGAATGGGCTTGTGTACTATCCACAGGGATTTTTTGTTTGACTGTAATTCAAGCATCCTACAGTCCTGTTMAGAGAAAGCTTTACTTAACGCTGCTGTGTAAAGTATTAACCATCATGCTTACTCAATACACACAYGCACAWGCAGATATTTCCAAAATTAWGTAGGAATTTCCATGTACAWGTTCCCAATAAWGTAAGACAAAAGTGTTTTTTTCCTATGGYGTGTCCTGCAGGAGCTGTTGCATGGAGATACCATGTGCTCCCCTTGGTGCTGCCCGAGCCCTGCAGCCAGGCAGAGACACTGCTGAGATCCCCAGCCTGCTCCTGGTGGCTCATCCCAGCTGAGCAATGGTGTGGGGACATGCTTGAAATTATCCCGTTTACTCATTCTCCTGGAAGACCACAGGAGCACCCACTGCAGTGGGGTCTCTGCTGGCAATACCTACAGCAGAGGGAGAAGGGTTTGACTTGGTACAGCAGACTTCATCTCGGCAGGGCAGAAATAGGAGGTGCACTTCAGCTGATGGAAAATCCCCATGGGAGAGGAAGTTGAGAAAGAGGTCCCAGTGAGACCCCTTCCCACTTTCTCAGTCCCCTACCCCTAGAGGCCAGGACCCAGCTGA